AGAAGTAGGGCAGCTGGTGACCTCGTCCTCAGGTTGGTCGACAAGATAGGTAGAAGGAGAGAGAGCAGTGGCTGTGGGGCTATCACTGGTCGTCGCAGGGGGAAGGATAGAAAGGGGCTCAGGCTGAAGAATTTCTTGCACTGAATCGCTCAATCAACTGAGAGTTGCGGAGGAGGAAGGAGAGGTCAGGTCCTTCCCACTGTGTCGATCATTTTCACTCGAAGTAGCGGAATCTGAGAAAAGGGGGAATAAAAGAAAAAGAAAAATTTCAATTAATAAGAAAACAAGAGAAAAGAAAAGAAGAAGAGCGAGAACACGGCACAGCGGAAGAACAAGAATTGGAGGAGAAGGGCGCAAGGGGAAGCAAAAAGGGAGAAACAAGTAAAAATAAAAATTCGAGGAAAATACTTTGAGAAAAAGATAAAGAAGACTTACTCATGGCGAACAGCGGAGAATATGCAGGAAAGACGGAGGACTCAAGGTTGCAAGATGCTCGACGATTGCAGAAAGCCCTAATACGATGATATGCAGCAGTGAAGAAAAAGGAAAAGTTTCCTCAAGGATGGGTATTTATAAGGGCAGAGAGGAATGGCCGACCGTAGGATTAAAGCATGAAATCCAACGGCAGAAGGAGAAGGAGCGTGCAAGTAGACGCGAAGATCGAGGTAACACGGGCCACGAGGTCATCATTAGTCCTGAGCAAATGAAAAGACGCGTCCCAAAAAGCGGACAAGTGGCGGAGTTTGAAATTCAAAAAGCATAAAGTGGTGGAGTTTGAAGTTCAAAGAACGAAAAGTGGCGGTTAGAAAAGAAAACAAAAGTGCAAGAGAAGAAAATGGGTCAGGTGGTCGAAGACAAAGCAACAGAACCTCCTCGACACAGACCAAATCCTATTCTTAGATCGAGTCGTTCAGACTCGACCAGAGTGGGGGGACTAGATTATATGGGATATTATATACTGGACCGGTTTGCAGGGCTAATCAAAGAAGATCGACCGGTTTGTTGGACTACCTAAGTAAGAATAGATCGAATGGCATGGTTGAGTAGGACCAGACACCGGCCACTAGAACATCGAGCAGATAGTGACAACTAAGAAGATCAGAAGTGGTCGATAGATACAAGTCATCTAAGGATATGGTCGAGGAAGGATGATCGAGGAGGCATAGACGTACAGAACTGGTAGAGTATCAGAGCACAGAAGGGAATCTCCAGCACGTAAGGAAGAGGACACGCGGCGAACTATGAGTGGTCAACAGCCGTAACCAACTCTGACATTCTCTGACAAAGGCGACGCGTTTTCTGACACCGAGAATAGAGGAGGCGCGTGGCTGTACAGACGAGCAGAAGACAATTAGCCGAACTCGCCTTGCTCGCGCGTGCAGCTCAGGTAACTCGCCCTTATTAATCCTCATTTTCAGTATGATCTCATACACTCTTATACTTTTTCATACACTCATATTATCTCTCAAGATCTGACTTGAGCGTTGGAGGCTCTTCACCGAAAAACACC